TTTTTTTTTGCAGTGTCCTGTGACTTGTGACAGCTCAGTTCATGGGCCAGAGATTGGAAATGAGCTCTAGTGGTGGGCGTACCAAGTCTGAACCACTGAACTAATAGAGAACCTCAGACCTCAGGGAATACTAATCAGAGTAAGGTCTCCCAGAGGTCCACATCTCAACACCAAGACCCAGTTTGACCCAACTGCCTACAAACTTCACTGTCAGAAACCTCAGGCCAAACAAACAGATAGGAACACATTCCTACTCATTAAAAAAACAAAAAATTAGGATGACAAAAAAATATGTTACAGACAAAGGAGCAAGGTAAAAACCTATAGGATCAAATAAATGAGGAGGAAATAGGCAACTATCTGAAAAATAATTCAGAGGAGTGATAGTAAAGATGATCCAAAATCTCAGAAATAGAATGAAGAAAATGTATTAAACAAACACCTAGAAGAACAAAAGAATGAACAAACAGTGATGAAAAATGCAATAACTAAAATTAAAAATATGCTAGAAGGAATCAATAGCAGAATAACTGAGGCAGAAGAATGAATAAGTGAACTGGAAGACAGAATGATGGAAATAACTTCCAAGGAGCAGAATAAAGAAAAAAATGAAGAGAACTGAAGATAGTCTCAGAGCTCTCTGGGACAATATTATATTAAATGCACCAACATTTGAATTATAGGGGTCCCAGAAAAAGAGAAAGAAAAAGGGTCTGAGAAGATATTTGAAGAGATAATAGTTGAGAACTTCCCTAACACGGGAGAGGAAAGACCCACCAAAATCCAGGAAGTGTAGACAGTCCCATATAGGAAAAGCTCAAGGAGAAACACACCAAGACACATATTAATCAAACTAATAAAAATTAAATATAAAGAAAAACTATTAAAAGCAGCAGTGGAAAAGCAAAAAATAACATACAAGGGAGTCCCCATATGGCTATCAGCTGATTTTTCAGCAGAAACTCTGCTGGTCAGAAGGGAATGACAGGATATATGGAAAGTAATGAAAGGAAAAAAGCCTACAACCAAGACTATACAGCAAAGATCTCATTCAGATTTGACAGAGAAATCAAAAGCTTTACAGACAAGCAAAAGCAAAGAAAATTCAACACCAGTTAAGAAAACAGTAGAGAAAATGGTAATGGGAACATATAAATCATACATAAATGTAAATGGATTAAATGCCCCAACCAAAAGACAGACACTGAATGGATACAAAAACAAGGCCCATGTATATGCTGCCTACGAGAGACCCATTTCAGACCTAAGGACACATACAGGCTGAAAGTAAGAGATGGAAAAAGATATTCCATGCAAATGGAAATAAAAAGAAAGCTGGAGTAGCAATCCTCATATCAGATAAAATAGACTTTAAAATAAAAATTGTTAAAGAGGTCAGGAAGGACAGTACATAATGGTCAAAGATTCAATCCAAGAAGGTAAAACAATTACAAACAGTTATGCATAGAAACAGGAGCACCTCAATACACAAGGCAAACACTAACAACCATAAAAGAAAACTTCATAAATCCATATGATTTCCAACCATATGGAAATCAACCATAACACAATTAGTATTGGGGGACTTTAGCTCGCCACTTATACCAGTGGAAACATCATCCAAACAGAAAATAACTAAGCAAACAAGCTTTCAATGACACAACAGACCAGAGTTAATTGATATTTATAGGACATTCCACCTAAAAGCAGGAGAACAAACTTTTTTCTCAAGTGCACATGGAGCATTCTCCAAGATAAACCACATCTTGGATCATATATCAAGCCTTGGAAAATTTGACAAAATTGAAATCATATCAGCATTTTTTCCCACCACAATGCTATGAGTTTAGAAATCAATTACAGGGGAAAAAAACTGTAAAAAAAAAACACATGGAAACTAAACAGTGCACTGCTAAATAAACAAGAGATCACTGAAGAAATTAAAGAGGAAATTTAAAAATATATAGAAACTAATGATGCTGAAAACATGACAATACAAAATCTATCGGACACAGTGAAAGCAGTTCTAAAAGGGAAGCTTATAGCAATTCAATCTCACCTCAAGACACAAGAAAAAAATCTCAAATGAATAATCTAACCAACTAGAGAAAGAGGAGAAAGAAAACCCAAAGTCAATAGAAGAAAGGAAATCATAAAGATCAGACCAGAAATAAATGAAATAGGAAATAAGAAAACAATAGCAAAGATCAATAAAAGTAAAAGTTGGTTCCTTGAGAAGGTAAACAAAATTGATAAATCTTCAACCAGACTCCTCAAGAAAAAAAATAGCAAGGACTCAATAAAATTAGAAATGAAGAAATCACAACTGACAACTCAGATATACAAAGGATCATAGAGACTGCTATAAACAACTGTAATCCAGTAAAAAATGACAACCTGGGAAAAATGGATAAATTCTTGGAAAAATACATGCATGCTTTCAAGACTGAACCAGGAAGAATTAGAAAATATAAACAGGACAATCACAAGTAGTGAAATTGAAAATGTAATTAAAAATATTCCAACAAACAAAAGTCGAGGACCAGACAGCTTCACAGACAATTTGAGCAAACTTTTAGAGAAGAGATAACATCTATCCTTCTCAAACTCTTTCCCCCAAAATCTCAGAATTATTAACACTTATAAATTCATTCTATAAGGCCACTATCACCCTGATACCAAAATCAGAAAAGATATCACACAAAAAAAGGAAATTACAGACCAATATCACTGATGAACAAAGACACAAATATCCTTAACAAACCTACTAACAAACAGAAGCCAACAACACATTAAAAGGATCATACATCATGATCAAGTGGTTATCCCAGGGATGCAAGGATTCTTCAGTATATGCTAATCAAACAATGTGATAACCATATTAACAAATTAAAGAATAAAAACCATAACACTATTGGTGGGAATGCAAACTAGTACAGCTGCTATGGAGAACAGTGTGGAGATTTCTTTAAAAACTGGAAACAGAACTGCCATATGACCCAGCAATCCCACTTCTGGGCATACACACCGAGGAAACCAGATCTGAAAGAGACACATGCACCCCCAATGTTCATCGCAGCACTGTTTATAATAGCCAGGACATGGAAGCAACCTAGATGCCCATCAGCAGA